AGGATAGATGATGATTTCATTTTCATTCACACCTTTGTGCGTTCACTTTATTTGTTAAATAAAAAATTCTTCGAGACATTACGATATATATAATTATACATATAAATTTTAGATTTTAATATATATATATATATATATATTAATTTTTTATTTTGATTTTATTTATATATGTAAAACATAAAATTTAAAAGTAATATTTTTAATTAAAGTGTTAATCTTATGTAAAAATTAAAATAAGATACAAAATTTTATATATAATATAAGAAATTAATTTTTATGAATATTTAAGATGACTACCATATAATATTTATTTAAAAAAAATTAGCAGCGTACACACATCTTATAAATTGTAGGATGTATATTATGTGTTAATTTTTTTGACAAATTTAAATATAATCTTAATCTTACCTAAAAATGAGGGGAATAGGGACTCTAGAAGAAGATATAAGAGTATTTCGAGTGAGTCTAAAATTCATAATCTAAGAGAATATAAAAAAATGAAAATGAACAATTTGACTACCCAATCAAATATGTTTGCTCATATTACAAGTCAATTTAAGATTCATGCTTATTCCTACGAAATTATATAAATTTAAGGGTAAACTATGTATTTAGTATCTAAATTGTCAGTTTTATTCCGTTTTATTCCGTTTTATTAAATAAACTTTCAATTTTTTCAAAACCATACCTGTAACACCCTTAACCTAAATACGAGTCAAATATGTCACATAGCATTTACAAACATACTATAGTTGAAAACCAATACAAATTTAAAACTTACCTAATTTAATCCTTCTACTAGAATAATATAATCACATAAAATCATATTATAATATTTAAACATCCAAATCAATATCAGTTTCAGGAAGCAACTAGACATTTCTATATTGTTTCCTATCATAAAGTAAATTGCCTAATAACTGTCTAACTTAAAATATTTCTTTATTCTGATAAAATATAACTTTTATCTAAAACACAAAACTTAGATTCATATTTATATTCATAATAATATATCTCAGACATTTCTTATTCGTATACATGTCATCTAGAAAATTTAAAAGAGTAGGATATCATTATTGATACCTGTAATTATTCTTTATTGATTGATGCCAAGCTCCACTCCTTACTTCGCTTGGTGTTCTTAACATATGCGTGAAAATCATCACAAGCTAAGTATACACTTAGTGATGCATTATAAACAAACAAAGGTGATATCAAATATAAAACAACTTAATAATATTATATCAATTTAAAACATTAAACTTAATTCAAATAAAATCATAGATATCCAAACCGATATTCAAGCCATTTTCTTCATCATGGACCTGAAAATCATCATCTCACTATTTTTTTCAATACCATGATAAACATTATCATACATAATGATCATATCATATTATTTTTCATTCATATACATTCGAGAACTTTCATATTTCATATTTCATTTCATCTTTCACTTTCACATTCATTTTTACAACTCATTTTCTTAACCAGCACCTTCACATTTAAGACTTTATTCTCAATTCAGAACCTATTTCCAATTTCATAACTTATTTTCATATTCATAATTTAATTTTAGATTCATAGCCTAATGAATATTTATGAGAATGTAAGGTATGTGAGTTAAACATAATGTGAATACTAGTAACTACACGATGCCAATCATCATCATAAGATGCACTCCAGGTGCAAATCATATCATATGCATCAACGGTGCCATACATAATGTACACGAATGTACCATAACCTAACTTGAACTTTACTCACTTCTTGGCATGCCAAGTGTACCTGTGACTCTCAATGCAACATACAATGAGATTTTTTATTAATTATTATATGTTATTGAAGTATCAAAGATAACAATATATCAACATATCCAACTTTTCATATCATAACAAAATAGGCAGTTCATACCCTAAACATTTCATTTTTCACATAACTTTTATATATATCATGATCATCGTCAATTACCTTTCTTTAACATATACACATCATATTCATCATATAATAAATATCATAACTATCATGCCAATTATAATAAAGTTGAATCATTTTGAACATTTATAATAGCATAAAACATTGGAGTAATATGAAAACGCAATTTATGACAAATTTCATATGCTAGCAGTTTGTACTACCTTAAAAGAAATGTTATTTTGTATTAATAAACACACTTAAAAATTATTCTGTTTATACCACTAGAAACTAGACGTGAATACAAATCTAACCATATAAGGAACTTCTTCTAGTTCATCTTGTGCAATTTATAGTAAATTTTCTATTCTAACTTACAGAAGTTGTTTTGAGCATCATTTGTTGCCTTGTTTTCTGACCTATACTCGATTAAAAATTCATATCTTTTTGTATATTTCTTTAAACCAATATACATTTGTTTTAAACGAACCTGCACTGATATACGAATCCAAATGTATAAAAAATCATCCTTTAATCACTTTTGTATAATTTATGGTGATTTTCTAAACTTACTATTCTGATCATAATTTCTAAGCAGTTTTCCCCAATTAGCATCCTTAGCTTATTCCACAATTCTATTAGCTTACCAAATGAGCATATATACATGAATCAAAAATCACATAGCATTTAGAAGTCACTTCTTACCATTGTAACTCTGTCACTGGCTCATCGTAAGCCAATGTTGATTTGATAACATAAACACAAATTAAATATGCGTTCACCTGGTGTCCTTAGCTTGCAAACCTTCCTTAGAAATTCCCACTCATCCTCAAGCTTCTCCTTAGATTTAATATTGTTTGATCTCGATTTCAATCATAATCTAAGTGAACATTATTATAAGACATGTACATTTCAAGCCACATGTTATAATCTCACTAACATAGACACACAATAGAAAATAAATTCCTAAAAGTCTTCCAATGCCCATTCGATATTAATTCCATGTCACAACATAAATGTTGACTTTAAAACTTCAAGTTGACATTTCAAGTCCCTTTTTATCCAAATTCACCCAAACTTCACATAACATTTTCAACTTTACTTTTTAACTATCATTTATGAATTCTTTTAGAATTCATCTCAACTTTTTCATTTTATTCAAAATGGTTCCTTGCCATTTTTCTTCAATTCAAGTCTCAAACAACTTAATTAAATTTTAAAGCATCTAATTTCCAGCACAATACCTCAACATTTCCACCATTACCACTTAAGTCACTAATTGTCTCAATATTTGCCATTTAGTACCTAAACTTTGCTAACTTCCCAAAATAGTCCAAATTTCACATTCTAACATCAAATTCAATGCTTTAACATTAATTTCCAGCATAGTAATTCATGTATTAAATAATTACATTTCAACCCAATAACTTTTTATAATTGTCAAATAGGTCCCCCAACTTTCACAAAATTACAAAATGGTTCAAACAACATTCTAAAGCTTGTAGAATCCTTTCTACATCATTTCCAACCCTTGTATCATTTTTTCCATAATTTTTCTCACCTCAAAACACCATAGCCAAAATTTATAGGGTAGGGTTTTCATGGTTTCCAACTTGTTTCAAGCATGTATTCAACCACTAAACAACATTTCAAACCTTCTCTAATCAAACCCATAATATAATTTAACCAACTCACAAATTCTTCAAAACCCTAGGTTTAGGCCGAACATGATTAAGCTTGATTTCAAGTGTTTTAATCATCACAAATGCTTTAGAAATAATCTATAACAACAAAAACATAATAATCTTCCATCAAATCTTCAAAATCAAACATGTCCTTCATAAACCGTAATATCCAATCTCATCATATAAGCATGATTTTCATGTAATTTTTGTACCAAATTATAGAGAATTTCAAGAGGATTAATTCTCTCCCTAATAGCTAAATCCAAAAATCAATCGTATAAGCTTAAAAAAATAAAATCAAATTTTCTCCATACTTAGCTATGGGGTGCACGACTTGAGCAAGGACAGGAATTGAAAATTCTTGATTTCTTTTCATAGTTAACATATACACTTATCTTAATTTAATATAAATGAATTTTAAATTCATTTAATTGGAAATGACATCATCTTATCTATAGCATCTTCAAAGTCAAAGATGAACAAATAAAAATCCACTTTCCAATTATATAATACCATTTTAACCTTACTAAATATGATAATTTCCACTTTGCCATTGTTAAACATCATCCATGACATCATCTTATCTATATTATCTTCAAAGTCAAAGATGAATAAATAAAAATATAATTTCCACCTTTTCCCTTGTAAATTTTTGAAAACTACAATTTCACTAATACACATTAAATTTCACTGTTCTAATCCAATTTCGACTAAATATGGAAAATCGACTTCAATTCCACTAATATTCATTAAATTTCAATGTTGTAAAATTTGGAAACAATATTTTCAACCTTTATCTATCATCCTTAAATTTTTGTGGAATTCTGATTCGATATGATTATCCAATTTTATATCAAACTTTAATGTCTTATAGCTTTTAATACAAATCTTGCATCGGAATTCTGATTCCCACGAAAAAATCATTCTTGGGGATGATCTATTCATTTATGAAATAAAATTTCTTTTTGGGAAAATTACCATTTTGGTTCCTAAACTTTTCTAAACTTTATAATTTGGCCACTAAACTTCAAAATTTATGTTTTGTTCACTAACCAAAATTTGGGATATTACAATACCTACGTTTTGTTTTTATTTTATTTTATTTTAGTACTCGTTGTTAAAAAATTAACTCTAGTACCTAAACTATCAGTTTTTGTCCATTTTAGTACCTAAACTTTCAAAAAAAATCAAAACTTTAACGTTAGATTTTGAACAGTGGTAATAAAATGAAATAAAAAATAAATTTTAAGTATGATTTTAAAAAAATAAAAGTTTAAATACTAAAATAGATTAAAATTAATAATTTATATACTAAACACGCAATTTAAACCAATAAATCACAGCTTAGTGGGCATTTATTTTCGGTAACACGTACAGGGGATTTGGGGGGAAATGAAGCTATAAAGCTTCTTTTTCTACCAAAGAAATCTCCCAGAAAACTGCTTCACTGCCGCCAAACCTTTTAGGGTTTAAGATTTTAGCATTCTTCCATGGCAGAGAAAGAGCCATTACCGGAGCCCAACCCACCAACTGAAGACATGGACCTCGAAACCATTGATTCATCCGCCCAAAACCCCAATGCCAAGGACGACGCCAACGGCGACTCCAAATCGAAGCGCGAGAGAGAAGACGGCGAAGAAACCGATGATGCATCCAAAAAGCAGAAGCTGGAGAAGTCAGTGGAAGAGGAAAGGCTTGAGAATAAGTCGGACTTACCCGAGTCGGGTCCTGTACGGCTCGGTCCGAAGGAGTTCGGGTCGACGGCGGAGATGTTTGATTACTTTGTCTATTTGCTTCATCATTGGGGTATTCAACTGAACTTTAACAAGGTACTGATAAAAATGGTTTTAGCTATGACTTTTCTTTATGTGGAAGAAAATTTATTTATTTTTAAATTATTTTTGAATTTCTTAACGAATGAAGAAAGTAGTTGATAGCATGGAAGTGTAAACTCTGTATTTACATGGAGCTTGAGTTGTTAAGGGCAGGATTTAAATAGCAGTCAGCAATCGGAATAGCCACCGTTATATAGCAGTAAACGTATAGTCTGAAACCCTTATTTCACTACCGTAATACGTACAATGACCATAATAGCATCGGTTATTGCTGCTATCGCGATAACAATCACAATTAAATCCCTTGTAAAGGCTTTATTTTAATTGTTCATTAGAAACCAAGTATAACATTACTGGCATGTTGGTGTGTGTGTTAGCTTGAAGAACTCTGACTAACACAGGTTTTTGAAATATGAGTGTATCATATGACACTTATATGACCCTCCAAGTGTAGAAAAAATATGGAGGGCGAATACTCATTTGGAATGTCCATAGTACTAAATTGTGGTAGTGGTTGCGGATGTTACAGAAGTTATGACGTGATTTGTTTCCTAAAAATAACTATGTTTTTATGTTGTGGATGCCGTTCGTGGTGATCTTAAAAAATGTTATGATGCCTAACAGAATCTGATTAGGTGTTGTTATTAGCTCTTCTTAGATTGTGGAAAAACTTGTTTATATGAATGACAGGAAATGCACATACAATTCATTCCCTCAATCTAGTATTGTCAAATTTGATTCTTAGGCACTGAAATATTTGAAAATTGTTGTTTCATATTACGTTAATCTTTGACTTTTTGATGCAGTATGAGCATATGGTATTGTTGGACTTGCTTAAAAAGGGCCATCTAGAGCCTGAGAAAAAGATTGGTGGAGGGATCAAAGCTTTCCAAATCCGAAATCATCCAGTGTGGAATAGTAAATGTTTCTTTTTGATTAGGGAGGATGAAACACTTGATGATTTTAGCTTCCGGAAATGTATTGATCATGTACTTCCCTTACCCGATGATCTGAAGATAAAACGCAACGCAGACAGGGCATCGCACGGTGGCGGTTGGAAAGGACGTGGTGGAAGAGGCGGTGGACGAAGCCGTGGGAAAGGTGGCAAGCCTAGAAACTAAGGCTATAGTTGTTGAAATGAAATTGAATCTGGATTAAATTCTTTTGTTGGATCAAAACTGCTTTCTTTTGCTTATATATCTGACCTTAGGTTGATGTTTTCATTATGGATATTGATGTTGTCATCGGTCGTATTTAACGTTTATATATGTGTGTGTGTTTCATTTTTAAGCAGTTTTTTAGTTTTTTTCTCTTTGCAAACTTGTTATTTGAAGTTATCATCTCCTTGAAAATAGGGATGTTCCCAAGCTTGGTATTTGTTGGAGAATTTAGGTGTTGAAAGCCTGAATATATTTTGCTCTTATCTTGTTTCAAACCACTTAATCGAGCTAAATAGGTTTTATGTTTGAATCCTTTTGAATGTATCTATACGTCTATATCTTTACAATAATAAAAATTTGACCAAGCTTGTTACACCAATACAATTCGTGAAAATAAGAAACTGTCAAAATAATTAAACTAAAATAAAAACATAGGGTAATTATGTAATTTACTTTTATATAATAATTAAGAAATATTATTTTATCTATCGAAGATCATTCGATCTAGTTAATGAGATTTCTTTCTTTTCTTTTTTTAAAGTTAACGTATTCATTAATCAAACATTGAATCAACACATACAATATCATTCATCTAGCTTGGTGTTGCAGAAGTAGAATAGATTGCCGTGGTTGATGAAGTGGCATAGTTTGCTTGAGCATGTGCCCCATTGGCCTCGCCCTTATAAACCGAATTGAGATGTGGGGATGAGCATCCAACATCTGTCTTGCTTCAAGAAGGTAGAACCAAATAGCAGATCGGTCATTGACAGGATTTTGTAGTTGTTGCACTGCATTCATTGAATCCCTTTCGACCACTGCCGATGAAAGCTCCAATTCCACTGCTAGCCGACTTCCTTGAATGATTGCCATCGCTTCAATGACTCCGGCCGAATGCGTGGCCACCACTGGTAAAGCTTGACCCGCCATGACTAAACCAGCACTGTCCCAAACAAGAACTCCAATAATCGTGGATGCTGGAGAACAAGGGAATGCCCCATTAACGTTAATCTTGAAGGTACGCACACGAAGTTTCTGCCATTGTTGAATAGAAATACCTGAATGCAACGCAGTTGACGATGAGGATGATGTAGCCATAGCATATGAGAAGGCTGATTGAAGAGCATTGGTTGAAGCGATGAACTGCCAACCTGGTAATAAGTGACCTTCATGAATATATAAATTCCGACGGTGCCATATCTTCCAAAGCAAAACCAAAAGTGTAACAAATCGATGAACAGTCAAATTGAGCATCATGTTCTCTAACCATGCGCCAAATGATGAGAAGCTTGTATCTAGAAGACGACTGAATCCAGCCTCTTGCTGCATTGGAGAGACCATCGAGCACTCTTGCAAAGCTTGGGAAACCGTTTCCTCCGGAGAACCGCATAAGCAACATCTAACTTTAGAAGCACCGACGTAGGCAAGTCGGCATCCAACTGATAAAGCCTCATGAGCAGCGCGCCAGCCAAACATACGAACCTGAGGAAGCGTATGTAATGGCGAGAGAAATAGCCAAAGCATGGATGTGTGAATTGTTGGTATCTGATGTCGAACAAGGCATCTATAACCAGAGTGGACAGAGTATGTACCTGATGAATGGCCACTTCAAATAATTGCATCCGAATGAATGAGGGAGATAGCATACTGAATAATCGCATCAACATCAGTAGTTGTAAAAACTTGTTGAACGAGTGGAACATTCCAATACGGTACACCTGGAATCATAAAATCTCCATATAATGTTGGGAAATAAACAAAGTACGAGTAATTTCCCTATAATCAGATTAGTGAGAATGCAAAATAAAAGCGGAAAAATAATACTCGAAATTGATAACGGAGTTCAGCCAATTTTTCTTAGGTCTCCGGACTGCTGCAGATCTTTTACTAAGAGAGAAATTTACAGATGCTTACAAAACACTCACTACTCACAAGAAAACTCTCTAGTATTGGGAGAAAGAAAATGATTTTGGGATGATTTTTAAGCTAAATGGGTAAGGGTATTTATAGTTGAAGTTTAGGGACTAATCTTTGAAAGTACCCTAAAGTGTAATTAACCCATTTAAAAATCAACATAAGTTGCACCGAATGTTGAAAACAATTTTTGCAGCCCAAACTTTGGTGCCATTTGGTGCCTACCATTGACTTTCAACAATCTCCCACTTGAAGACTGATTTTAATCTGTCTTCACACCTCGATCAATACAGCAGTATTTCTGGTCTTGTTACTCTAGCATGCCAACTGAAGCTGAACACAACTTTAGTTTGTCTGTGGTCACCGTCTTTGTTAACATGTCTGCCGGATTTTGAGATCCACTGATTTTTTCAAGTTTCAAAATCCCATCTTCCAGAAGAGACCGGATAAAATGATATCTCAATTTTATGTGCTTCGTCCAAGAATGAAAAGACGAATTCTTCGCTAGATGGATAGCACTTTGACTGTCTCAATAAAAGACATTGTTTTCTTGTTTCTTGCCTAACTCTTCCAAGAAACTTTGGAGCCAGACCATCTCCTTGCTGGCTTCCGTAACAGCGACATATTCTGCTTCATTTGTGGAGAGAGCAACTATCTTCTGTAGTTGAGAAACCCAACTCACTGTAGTTCCTCCTAGAGTATAGACATACCATGTAGTACTTCTTCTAATGTCGACATTTCCGGCTAAGTCAGCATCTACATAGCCTGTCAGTATCGTATCTCCACCTTTGAAACAAAGTGCTTTGTTTGTAGTACCCCGTAGATATCTGAGGATCCATTTGACAGCTTCCCAGTGTACCTTGCCTGGATTATTCATGTACCTGCTAACAGCTCCCACTGCATAAGCAATATCTGGTCTAGTACAAACCATGACATACATCACACTTCCAATTGCTAAGGCATACGGCACCTTCACCATGTGTGCACATTCTTCCTCCTTCTTTGGTGACTCTTGGAGAGTCTAAAATGAACACCTAAAGGTGTACTTACTGGTTTAGCATCTTGCATGTTGAACCTGGAGAGTACTTTGTTGATGTACTCAGCCTGTGTAACATCAAAGTCTCTGACTTTGTATCTCTCTTGATCCTCATTCCAAGAATCTGCTTTGCAGCTCCCAGATCCTTCATAGCAAATTGTTTCGACAATTTTTGCTTCAAGTTTATAATCTCTTGCATGTATGAGCCTGCAACGAGCATGTCATCAATATACAACAATAAAATAATGAAGTTGTTATCGAACTTCTTGATGTAGCAACAATGATCTTCTTGGCATCTGGTAAAACCACTGCTACCCATGAAACTATCGAACTTCTTGTACCACTGTCTAGGAGCTTGTTTTAAACCATACAAGATCTTCTTCAACCTACATACCAGGTTTTTCTTGCCTGCCTCATATGAATTTCTTCCTCCAAATCACCATGAAGGAAAGTTGTCTTCACATCTAACTGCTCAAGATGTAAATTCTCTACAGCTACAATTTTCAACACCAGTCTGATTGTAAATAGTTTTACGACTAGAGAGAAAATTTCATTGTAGTCAATACCTTCTTTTTGCTGAAAACCTTTGACAACCAATCTTGCTTTGTAGCGTTTTCTCCCATCATGCTCTTCTTTGATCCTGTAAATCCACTTGTTGTGGAGCGCTTTCTTGCCCGGTGGTAATTCAGCTAATTTTCATGTCTGATTTGACATAAGCGAGTCCATCTCATCTTTCATGGAAGACTCCCACTTGACTGAATCCTCTACTTGCATTGCTTTATCATAGCACTCTGGTTCACCATTGCCAGTCAACAATAAGTAGTGCAATGAAAGAGAAAACCGTTGGGTAGGTTTAGGAATTCTGGAGGAGCGTCTTAGTTCCGGTGTGTCTGGTTCTTCTTGAAGTGCTTCTGGACTGATCTGAACATCATTTCTAGAAATCTCCTCGAACTCAGCAAATTCCTTTGTTTCAGCTTCGGTGTTTGAGCTACTTGATTATATGGTTGATCTGTCTTTGTACATCACATTCTCATTGAAAATGACATCTCTGCTTCTGATGATCTTTCGATTTTCATAGTCCAAAAACCGGTAACCGAACTCATCACCACCATAACCAACAAAGACGCATTTGTTGGACATGGCATCAAGTTTACTTCTTTTAGAAGAGTTTGTGTGTACATAAGAAATAAAAGAAATACAACCAAACACTCTTAAGTGTGAAAGGTTTATTTCTTTCTTGCTCTAAGCTTCCTCTGGTATTCCACCATCCAAGGGAACTGAGGGCCCACAGTTGATCAGGTAAGCTGCAGTGTTGATAGCTTCAGCCCATAGAAATTTGGGCAATCCGACATGTATCCTCATACTTCTGGCACGTTCATTCAGAGCTCTGTTCATGCACTCTGCTACGCTATTCTGTTGCGGTGTCATGGGAACTGTTGTCTCTATCTTGATCCCATTATTTGCGCAAAAATCTCTGAATCTACGATTTCTGTACTCTCCTCCATTGTCAGACCTCAACCGCTTGACTTTCAGACCAGTCTCATTTTCCACCATGGCCTTCCATTTTCTGAAGGTATCAAAGACTTCTGATTTCTTCTTTAGAAAATAAACCCACACCTTCCTTGTAGAATCATCGATGAAGGTGACATAATATAATGAGCCTGTAAGAGATGTAACTGGAGATGGTTTCCATACATCAGTATGAACCAACTCTAACTTTTTAGCCTTGGGTGTCTTACCAATCTTTGCAAAGCTGACTTTCTTTTGTTTGCCAAAGATGCAATCCTTGCATAGTCTGACATCTATATTCTTTAGATCCGGCAGCTTCCCTTTTGAAAAAAGTGTCTTCATCCCTTTCTCGCTCATATGGCCAAGCCTTTGGTGCCATAGGTTTGATTTTCCATCAGCATTTGCGGCTGCAATGATATTCTCTAAATTTGAGGTTACATAGAGAGTACCAGTCTTCTTACCACGAGCAATGACGAGTTCTCTTTTGGTAATCTTCCATTCACAGCCTGAAAAGGTTGTGCTATATCCTTCTCCATCAAGCTGTCCAACAGAAATCAAATTTCTTTTGAGACCAGGAATATGTCTCACTCCTGTCAGCTTCCAGGTGGTCTAGTTTGGCAGCTTTAATCGGATGTCTCCTTTTCCGACGATCTTCAAGGTTTCATCATCAGCTAGATGAACCTTCCCAAAATTACCACTGACATAGTTCTCCATGATTTCTCGGTATGGGGTGGAGTGGAAAGATACCCCTGAATCCAAGATCCATGATTCAATTGGACTGTTGACGCTTAGAATCATGGAATCACCTGTCTCCTCTGTCATGTTGACAGAATCCTGTGTGCCGATATCTTTCTTCAGTGCTCGACAATCTCTTTTAAAGTGACCCTTCTTGTCAAGATTATAACATGTAAATCTTTCTTTCCCATTCTGGATTTTCCCTGTCTGGATTTTGATCTGCCACGATTTGAATTTCTTTATGAAGTTCTCCCTCTGGACTCCGTGTGCAAGGCTGAGGAGGTTGATGCTTCACCCGATTCTCTCCGTCGAATTTCTTCACTCAATACCAGATCCCGTACATCGTCGAATTTTAATTTGTTGTTTCCCGATGAGCTGCTGATTGCTGTAACAGTAGCATTCCAACTGTCTAGTAGAGATGATAAGAGAATTAAAGCTCAAACTTCATCATCGAATACAATTTCTATTGAACTCAACTGGGTTGTGATTGTGTTGAGTTCATTTAGGTGTTGAGTCACTGATGCCCCTTCTGTCATCCGCAAATTGAATAATCGCCTCATCAAATGAACTTTGTTTGAGGTCGATGGCTTCTCATACATACTGGAGAGAGTCGCCATAAGACCCGTTGTGGTCTTTTCCTTTGCTATGTTGAAAGCAACATTGCGGGATAACGTCAGTCGGATAACTCCGAGGGCTTGCCTGTCGAGAAGAGCCCAGTCTTCATTCTTCATGTCCTCTGGTTGCTCTCTTGAGAGAGATTGATATAGATTTTTCTGGTACAGAAAATCTTCAATCTGCATCTTCCAAAAGTCAAAGTCTGCACCATCGAACTTCTCAATTTTTACCTTCCCTTCGTATGCAGCCATCGCTCCCACTCGAATCTGGCTTCGTTTGGATCGTTTCTGACAATTCTTCCGAACCACCGTATATTAGAACACCTCCGTCGACAAATTCGTATCGCCGACAAAATTTACTATTCACGAAATTAACTATTCATATGAGTAGTAATGAATAGTAACCTCGCAAAAATTGACAAAATTCACAACCAAAAGCTCTGATTACCAATTGTTGGGAAATAAACAGAGTACGAATAATTTCCCTATAACCATATTAGTGAGAATGCAAAATAAAAGCGGAAAAATAATACCCAAAATTGATAACGGAGTTCAGCCAATTTTGCTTACGTCTCCGTACTGCTAAAGATCTTTTACTAAAAGAGAAATTTACAGGTGCTTACAAAACACTCACTACTCACAAGAAAACTCTCTAGTATTGGGAGAAAGAAAATGATTTTGGGATGATTTTTAAGCTAAATGGGTAAGGGTATTTATAGTTGAAGCTTAGGGACTAATCTTTAAAAATACCCTAAAGTGCAATGACTAAAATGTAATTAACCCATTTAAAAAATCAACATAAGCTGCACCGAATGTTGAAAACAATTTTTGCAGCCCAAACTTTGGTGGCATTCGGTGCCTACCATTGACTTTCAACATATAATATCGGGTGTGTTGTACTATCGGTGTAACTGGTCTCAAGCTGAACAGGATAGACACCACCCCAAATCACACCGCACATGGGAACCGCGCTATTAATCCCAACATGCCAATGGAATCCATGAAGGAGATCATGAATGGCATTAAATTAGCTCCTCCACGCAAATGAGGGGTGATCACTAATAGAGGCCTGTGGTATATGACTTGATGGGAAATATTTCGCCTTAAATATACACGCCACGAGACTCTGAGGCTATTGAATGATCCTCTACAATTGCTTGCTAAGCATCGCCATATTGAAATTTGAAGATCATGGAAGCCAAGGCCCCCAATTCTTTTCGGACGACATAATGTCTGCCAACAACAAGAGGCCATCCCTGAGAAGAAGATTCGCGCGTCCACCATTACGCACGAGAGATGCAGTGATGTCTGATAAAACACCATCCGAAATCAAATAGCAACCCATTACATATATTGGTAGTGCCTGTCCCACAGCATTAATATAAACTGCACGACCTCCGTCAGAGATCAAATTCTTTGTCTAGCCCCGAATTCTTGAAGACACTTTATCACGCGAAATCCAAATGCTTGAGTTTTGTTCCGACCAATAAGAAGAGGCATCCCAAGATACATACCCAGATCCAGAATAGAAGAAACCCCTCAATAGAGCTAAGATTGGCTTGTAACCACAGCGGCGTAGATGGAGAAAAACAAATACTTGACTTTGCCAAATTAACTTTTGTCCAGAATAGCTCTCATATAAAGTTAGAGCATCACGAACTCGGGTAAATTTAGCCTCAGAGTTGCGTAAAAATAGTAAACAATCATCAGCATAAAAGAGATAAGTAACTCGTGGACCCGATCGACTCACTCTTAAACCATGTATTCGGTTGTCACGTTGCTCCCGATGTAAGAGTGAAGATAACCCTTAAGCACATAAAACAAATAAAAATCGGGGATAAAGGGTCACTTTGGCAAAAACCACGAGACGATCGAAAACTGTTAGATAAGCTACGATTAATACGGATTTGGTATGTACCAGATGTGACACACTCCATCACCAAAGAAACTATTGTTCAGTAAAACCAAGATAGAGTAACATGGCTAGGAGAAATGACCACTCAACACGACCGTACGCCTTTTCCATATCAATCCTTTTAGCCGCACCCCGAGATGAAACTGCTTGGCCATTCTTCAAATAGTGGTTAATTTCATGTGCAATGAGGACATTGTCAGCGATTAGTCTACCAGGGACAAAGGCACCTTGATTATCATCAATGCAATCAGGTATAATGGTCGAAGACGATTTATTTAGACTTCAGAAATAATTTTATAAATAACAATGCATAGTGCAATTGATCGAAATTGAGACATTGTTTCTGGTTCAACAACTTTAAGGATTAGCACCACACAGTACAGTTTACATCAGCCATTGATTCTCGACCATTAAAGAGATCTAAACAATAATTAAGTACATCATCGCCGATAAATGGCCAAAAAGATCTATTATTACCAAATATTAGATGATTAATGAATAAATATTGACATGAAAATTGTATTTATTTCTAAAATATAAGCATTTTAGCTTTATTATATATATAATAAAAGTTGTTCATTTCAAAATGTGAATGTTGCAATTAAGAAATAACAATTTCATATATATCAAAGAAAAATATTATTACCAACGGGGTTGGTTCAAGTAATAAGCAACATAACATCGCTTAAGAAATGTTTCAGGTTCAAGTCCTTGTGTATGCAAAAAATCTCCGTTGAGAGACTCACCCACCAAAGTCAGGTGTTCGACCTAGGTCTTCTCTTCGTTCTCAGACAACCCCTTAAGGTCAGATTGAATCATTGTTTCAATCCCTTTGCTTCCCAGCTTGACTCGGGACGCAAAAATAGAAGAATAGTTGGATCTGATTGTATATACGAGCACTCGTAGACATCCCCATCTCCACCTAGAGCACGAAGGGATGATTCGAAAAATCTTGCAGCAGCATATGCCATGAACAGCATGGCTGATCCTGCACCTGCCTTTTCCTCTACAACCTTTGTCCCGGCATTCTGAATCCTGACAGTTAATTCCTCAACTTCTTCATCTGTAAAGCTAACCCAGGGTTTCGTCTTTGACAGCATGGGTAAAATGGTGAAACCAGTATGCCCGTCTATAACAGGAACATCGACATTGATGAGCTTAAGGTTTTTCTTCTAAGAGACAAAAGTGTTGGCTCTCACAACATCCAATGTGGTAATAACAAAAAGCTTCTTTGGATCATAAACGTATGTCCGAACGGTCTTTAATCTTTTTACGGTCGGAATGGAATTGAACCAAAAATTCATTTCAAAACGAGGTTCAGAGTCGATTACGCGTGAGAAATGGTGAGCAGCCGCACAACACTCAAAATTTGTACCCAATTAATTATACATCTTTTTTTATGTTTGAGAATTGTAAATTTAATTTAGTATTTAGATTATGATCTTTTTATATAAACAACCATTGGAAACACACTTCTCTTGTATTTGGGATACTTTTCCATAGATTCCCCATACAGAATACGAGATTAACTAGATTTTTATTTAATATAAAAAATGGTGTAATATTGTATATATAAAACATTCGGAATAGAGGATATGCTTCTGTATGAACAATCATTGGAAACGCCCTTCCCTTATATTTGGGAGACTTTTCCATAGATTCCCGACACAAAACGATATGACAAAAACGAATCAAGCCTAATAATATATATAGGTACATGCTTATGAGCAAAATGATTTTAAAATGTAGGAAATAATACAAATAACTAAGTTATATTATATTAATATGGAAAATAATAAACATACATCATACTTAGAAAAATAATTTAAAAATAAATAAAATATACTATAATTATATATATATAGCACAAAATGTATTATATATCTAAAATAATATTTAATATATATGCAATATATACATATGTTTAATGAAAATAAAATGTATTCACCAATCACGTCTGAGAGAAAAAAAATCATGATCTACAATTATGGCATAAGATTTGCACGCAAATGAACTAGAATTCAAAAGATAAAGTAATATGTAAACATGGAAAAGAAAGGCGTGGAAACGTAAATAAGCTTGAATGCGAATTGTACGAAACAGAAATTAACGAAATAAACAAAACGAGGGACCAAAACGAAATGGTTCAAGACAAGGAACCAGAGCAAGCATCAGTCAAAACTATAATGGTTACTGACTTAATTTACCCAAATGCAGTAAGAAACACATTCATATATAAAACACCAAAAAGAGCTCAATATTCTTTTTCAAGTTTCACAAAAAAAAACAGAGAATGAGAGAGAGCTATAGCGTTTTGCCGGGAAGAGGAAGATCGTCGTTCGTCACCAAACTTCAAGCGAAGGTTCGCCTCCACGCTGGGAGATCGAATTTGGCCTTGGTTTTGCGAGAAATGGTCTTCAACTCCTTGAAACAACCGTGGAACCTCTAGGCTTCACCCTCCGATCTACGTCATCGGACCGTTGGATCGCTACGAGGTCGAGCTATGTGGTTTCCCTCGCTACCATCTTCTTACCCACAATATGGATTAATGATCCAACCGTCGGAGTTGTGCCGACAAGAACTAAGGTAAGAATTTTTTTTTCTCTTTATGTCGAATGGACTTTGGAGATTTGAATGCTTGTGTTTTCAGTTAGTTGTTTTGGTGTTATGATTTTGGCTTTGTAGGTCGACGGGCAGTGATAGTTGAATGGAAAAGAGAGCAGCTGTGTAATGGTTGTCAGAAGATCTTCGGGGAAGAGATCGCTCGATGGGGGTTTGAGATGTTTGGTTGTTGATGTCGTGAAGATGGGGGGTTCTAACGGTGGTTGTGATGTTGCTAAACGGTGGTTGAGGAAACTGCCGAGGCTAGAGATGAGCCGAAAATATTTAGGGTTCTTCTGATTTTTTTTAAAGAGAAAATAACCTCAGTGACCAAAAATCCCATATAATATACGATTTTAACCAACTTTTTCCGGATTTGCCAAAATGACCAACAAAATCGTAATGTGATCGCTAATTCGCAACGCGATCTCCATTATCGCAAATCAGTTTCTAGATTCGCAACGCGATTATTACTATCGTAATACGATTTTCCAATTTCGCGTTGCGATTTTCCCAATTCGCAATGCGAATAAGTAAATCGCAATGCGAATAAGTAAATCGCAATGCGAATTTGGAAAATCGCAATGCGATACTGACTATCGCAATGCAATTTTCCTAATTCGCATTGCGATTTACGTATTCGCGTTGTGATTTTCATAATTCGCAATGCGAATACGTAAATCGCAATGCGATTAAGTAAATCGCAATGCGAATTAGGAAAATCGCAACGCGAATACGTAAATCGCAATGCGAATCTGACTATCGCAATGCGATTTACATAGCGTCATTCGTATTAACGCGTATTTTTTTTTTCAAATTCCAAACACGAATTTTTTCTTAATATATCGGAAACTGAACCGTCCACAGTAATCGCAACTCATAACCTCAAACCTAAAATCAAAACACTCATTCCCATCTCCATCTCTCACTCTCTACGGCGAAATTCGTCCCCATCTCCGAAGATTTCCGTCCCCATCGCCGGCGAAATCCCTCACAACCATTCACGGTCAGAAATCCCTCACAATCATTCAGAAATGGAAAATCAACCTCCGAGGGTTAGTTTTTTAATTATTTTTATTTTGAAAATTTTGCATTATTTTAGGTTTTTCATATTGAAATTGATGATAAGTTTATTGGTAATTTCAATAATAGATTAACCATTTCACTTAGATTTCTTATTAAATTCATTCGATTGCTGCCAATACTGCTAAACTGTTTAGTATTTAACCCTGTGAAGTTAGTATTTGTCTTTGTTCTGTCTTTTGGTTGAAGTAATGCAGAAGAAGAATAGTTTCGAGAATGAAAATCGCAACGCGGAAATGACTATCGCAACGAGAGAATCGCAACGCGAAATGAAAATCGCAACGAGATAATCGCAACGCGAAACCAAAATCGCATTGCGATTTTCATTTCGCGTTGCGATTCTCTCGTTGCGATTTTCATTTCGCGTTGCGATTCTCTCGTTGCAATTTTCATTTCGCGTTGCGATTCTCTCGTTGCGATAGTCATTTCCGCGTTGCGATTTTCATTCTCTCGTTGCGATTTTCATTTCAACCAAAAGACAAAACAGTGTTGCAAATTTTAGTTTCAAGAATAAACTACTATTTATGTTTATTGTTTTTGGTATATCTTCACAGTGTAGTTTTTGGTATATCTAACTTGGTATGTTTATTGTTTTTGTAGAAATTTTTTTCGGCTTCATTGACATTAAGGATTAAAGTTAGCATAGCCACTACAATTGCTTCGAAGCTTTCACCTGCACAAAGAAAATTGTTTGAGGAAACCTGCTTCAGGCCATGGCTGAGAGTACAGCATCCAGGTGGAGATGCTAATTTGACCCATTTGTGGCTTCAGACCATGACTAGCAATCTACCCGACAATATACAACGTGGTGAGGAAGAGATATGGTTTCATTTTCCACCGGTGTATACTTGTTTTGGGCGGAAGGAGTTCTGCTTAATCACTGGTCTACGATTCAGACACGATGATGTAGGCCGGTATACTCGTCATATCACCCGCCAATCATGGTTATCCAGGATTTTTCCCGATGAGTCAATAGAGAAGCCGAACTTACACGTCGACGACATGAAGAAATTGTTTAATAAGAAAGATGGTTTTACTCGGATGAATGACGTCGATATTGTCCGAGTATGCCTTCTACTACTTTTG